TGCTTGAAGACAAAGAAGGCATAATACTGGACCAAAAGGTGTACCGTTGATGTAGGGAAGGGTCTAAAAGCTAGGGCACCGTGTGGGGTACAGTTGTGGAGACCTAAGTGACCGCGTAACAAAAAAGTAGAGTTAAAAACAAAGTTTTGCATAGCCCCTCTCTCCTTTTGAGTGCGGTTTCTAGAGCTCCCTTTGGTCAACCTCCTGCGCTATCCATCACAACGTAGTTGGTGCTGTAAAGAAGACACACACTAACCAACCGCGCTAGACGTTGAATATACGTGCAATCAAGACGACAGTTCACCGTAACTTCACTAATCTCTCTTACCAGTTACACTGGATCTGGAGTTACGTCCCGTTAAGCAATTGCAGTGGGGGAAAGAAGAGTGTGAGCTATCACGTATGCTTGTTGCTAGTCGTAGGATTACTGGTGTGAAATTTGAGTCGCATAACAAAAGATGGAGTTGAACATAGTCCCTTGAGGTTAAGGTTTCACTTCTTTCCCTTCTTGTCACTTCGTTCTCAGTCCAGTGCTGCCCAACAATATCGACCTGGATTCCATCCAACAAGTAGAGAAGTGAAAGGGGTGTCACAAGTTCACATTTTTAAAATCTTTATTTAGAAGCGGAAACTAAATTTTTTCCAGCTCTTTCACGGCTGGTGTCGCTGTAGTTGTTAATAGCACACCTACAGAACAGGCAGCTGGGGTATAAGCCGAAGGTAGACGTCATTTTAGTCCTTCTCCCACTACTGTAAAGTTTCGCGTTTACGTATGTAATTTAGGGTTTTCGGTCCTTAGGTTCGAGCTAGCTTCCTGCTGACACCAATACTGCTCCGCAGGACTGCCTTGACAACGAAAGAAGACATGCTTATAGGGCAGAATGTATACTGTTGATCTGGAGAATGGATTAAGGTGGAGGCCGAGCCACCCAACTGAGGCACGGTGGAGAAGCTCCAAGTGTCCCTTTACCAAAACGAAGAGTTGAACAAATAACCCAAGTATTACACTTCTCCCTCTTTCTTTTGACTAAACAATTAAATGCGTTTTCAGCACAAGATTAGGTCCAGACCAATTCACTCAACTGATTACCTCAATAATGACAATGACCGTTTTTACAGATTTATTTTCAGCATATTAATGCGCCAATGATTTGTAACACCCTCCATTGTGCGGTTATACCACCTATTATTAAGTGCCTCTGCAAGCTTTTGTGCAGCAGCATTCAAGAACAAAGCACTTTGCAATAACAAAAGCCTAAGAGGAGGTAATGCAAAGCATGGCATCGGTGAATGGAATGTGGCTTGCTGCACCTCTCTTAAATTCTCCTTCTCCTAAACAGTACAGTTTACTCGGGATTGGTGGGCCTCCTAGTTTCCGTGTCACGGGTGTTCCATGGTCCTTTATTCAAATCTCTGTGGAGAAAAATTGCCTTTACAGCAAATGTCATAAGCTGCTTCTTTCAGTGGGCAAAAAGTATTGACGGTCAGGTTAGTGAGCACTTTAAGTGGAATTTTTATGTTTTGTGGTTGCCTCTAACCTGGGAGGCCACCAACTTTAGCGCCGCTGGGCCACTTTTTCCAGCACCAACGGCATGTCGACATGCCTCATGCGCCAGCAGAGCAACAGTGCGACAATCTTGTGACATTAACTACCGACTGAGTAAATTTTAACATTTTTTGAACAGAGTCCACCATTTCAGCCACTGAATTCTTCCTCTTCTCTCTTGGTCATGGCATTTTAACTACATAAGATTTTTTTCTTTTCTTGAGTGCCACTGAGAATTTTAAATTCACTTGTTAATGCATTGTCTGTGTTGGACGGTGACCTGTGCCCTCCATGCGTCCATTACGGTAGAAAATTGGGAGTTTTCTCAATTCCTCATTACGATTTAAGCACACTTTTCAACTAATATTGTCAAGATTGAAGTCATGATTTATTTCTTACTGTGGCGGCAATAAATAGGACAGTTTTCTGTCTCTCTCAAACTTAGAACGTGCAGCTTTAAGTGACAAGAGGGTGGGTGGTAAAATACATTTAAACAATCCTATTCAAGTTCAGACTGTCCGGATTAGCAAATTATTATTTGTATTGTGCAATCGTCCGAGGCCATGCAAATTTCAATCATCCGATTGGACGCGTTTTGTTTCGAAGAAGAAAAATAGACTAAATTGTGCCAGCAATTATGCCTGTAAAGTAGGCTAGCAATACCGGGTTATTCGAGCATACTTTTGTCCCTTTCTTATTTTGTTTGTAATAAGTTTTTGGTAATAAATTGGTTATTTGTATAATTATGCTTTTTTTATGAGAGAACTTAAGGCTCAGCCTTTGTGCTGCGCTGAGCGGCTTGGCATCTGGGCCATGATAGGGGCCCCTCACTTCATCTGTACGTTGGCAATGCGCTTTCTGCTCTGATATTATGATTTCATGCATCCTTGGGGCGGAACAGAAAGGTTCCATTAGTGGTAACTGAAAGCAATCTTGACCCCTGGGAACAACTATCTTGATTGCTCTTACTGAATAATACATCTTAAAGTGACGGAAGGGGAAAGTACGCTGCGGATGGACGAATTCCTAACGATTTCTAACAGAAGGGTTAAAAATGACGTCTGCCTTTGCCAACTACTCCTGTCCCGTGTTCTGTAGGAATGCTGGTAAAAACTAGTGCGACACTAGACGTGAGGCCCCCGAAAAAGTTCGTTGCGAAGCTCTCTACGGCGTCTGTATGAAGATGGTAATTAGGTGGACACGCGATACCTCCCTCACCTCTCTACCAACTGGGGAGGCCTCAGAAAAATAGGTACAGCTGAGCAGCACTAAGGTGAAAACTAATTGTTAGAGAGGAATAAACGTGAAACCTTACCCCCATGAAACTATTCTATACAAGGTCCTTTATTAGGCGACTACTTCTAGACTAGTTTTCTTACTACTATAGATAGGTATAAATAATGGCAAGCCCATTACTCTTTTGCCCAAAGCATTTTCCAAGCAGGACGAGACTCCACATCTAGTGGAATTGCCAAGCACGATCAGTGACGTGGCAGTCAGATACCCACTCAGTTGATCGCAAAATCAATGACTAGTTTGGCTGGTTAGTTGAGGTCTTCCTTATAGCAACGACTATATTGTGGTAGCCCAGGTGGGAGGTTGGTCAAGGGGAGCGCTGCGGACGCCTCTTTCAAGGAGGCAAGGGGCTATTTGATACATTGGGCATTTATTTAACGCTCGGTTTTGGTAAAAAGACGCTCAAGTCTCCGGCTGTGCATTTTCGATGAACGGCATGGCCTCCAAGCCATGTCAGTAGCCCTCCCTCCAACCCTTCCGTACCTTGGCAATACAAATTCTGCCCACGCACTGCACCTTCTTTCTCTTTCAGGCAAGTCTCAGGGAGCTGCACTGTTATTAGGAGTGCAGTGCATAACTTATTCGACTAAAATGCTTGCTAAATTGGTGGTCTACCTACTTAAAAATGCATTTATTTTTTTTATGAGAGAATGCGTAATTAGGATCGCTTGACAGCATAAGTGACATCTGGAAATTGGAGGAGTTTTGTAGAGTGAAGAGATACAAATAGTTATATAATTCTAGTGCTAGATGCGGCATAGACGCGCTTATTACGAGATGCTACCTCTTTTATATCCAATTTGTTTTAAAAATTGCTTTGCTACCTTGGCTACTTTTTTAGCATTCATTAACAACCAACAGTAGCCTCAAATAATCCGCACTAATCAAACAGCAGTTCATGGGTACTCCTCTGGAGCCTACGATTTAAATATCACTAGATGTTTTCAAGAAGATCCTTCTTTGCCAAATTGGGGCTTTGCAAATCAAAATTGCGCAGATCCCAACTCATTTCATGCCATTTTACTTTATTTACTCGAGTAAAAAGCAAGTTGTTTGGCGATTTCATTGATTGCGCCACCAAATTATAAGTTGAAGAACCTGTGGGAATAAAGTCATTTATTCATTTGGCTGAAGGGCTGGTGGTTTACACCGAAAAGTGCCATTTTTAAGGTGTAGAAAATGCATTTGATTGTATGATAGCCCGCCTCTCCATCCTGCTACATTTATACCCCTGTCCTGGCACTCATTTCGTGTCTGGAAGGCTCTAGCATGGAAAGATCTATCAGCAAGGCCAAATCACTCTTCAATAATGTTTTATGATGGTTAAAAAAGAGGAAACTGCACTGTTCTTGAGCATAGTATTAACTTTTCGGAATTGGAAATGTTCGTTTGGCCGAACAGTTTTTTATAGTTCGTGGGTCGGTGTTCTAGGAGCCGGGCGTCGTACGCACTGAATTCCCGCAAACACGAATGCGATGGACAAGGAGCCAACAGAGTTGAGATCGACGCTAAAGTGACTCCAGAAATTTGGAGAATTCTTATAGGGAGTAAGTTGTCCTCCCTTAGGTAAATTAATGTCAGAATCCCAAACAAGGTAATTTGGGAGACTGGTTTGCAATGCGCCTGATCAAGTTTTCCTTGCTGCAACTTATGCTCCTTGGCACTGTTTTCTGTAGTAAAAAGTTGAAATAATGCCAATGCATGGTCGTTAGAAGAATGGCGGCACCAGTAGCATCCACAGCAGACACAGAAGTATTCCCTTCAAGAGGAACTGGCGGAAACGTATGCCAAATTCCGCAGCAACTGCGGCCAATGTGCAATACTGCTCCCTTGGCAATTAGACGAGGTTGTAATGTTCCAGTTTTAATGCTGTAACTGTTAACGAATACTTCATGCCCCAAACATCATTCGAATATCCACTTAATAGGTTTTCATCTTTCCCATGTGACACTTCTGCGCTTTTACTTGGCAGTTGTACTTGTGACTGCCTTCCGTGGTTTGAATGCAGCACCACACGCCTGTTTATTCAGTAGCACTGACTCTTCAACAGGTGCTGCACTGCATTATTTGTAAGTCGCGGCCTTTGAAGCCTTCCGAGGGTACCCCTGCAGAAAGATGACAATTTGATAAACAGTTAGAAGCTGGGAGCTGGCAGCTGATGGTCTCCGAAGGCAGGACCCCTTCTATCCTCCCCAAACCTTCCACACAGGTGATTCCTAGTGCAAGCTGTCTGGAGAGCACTGTTGGTGACGCTAGTATGGCCGGTGGTGGTGGCAGTGGCCAGTCGACGAGTGCACTAAGGGAAGTGGGTGGACAAAAATACATTTTGGTGATGGAACGACTATAACGTCTGTTCTCTATGCTAGTATTGTCCATCCAGAGCTAAAAATCCAATGGCCAGATCTTCGTACATGAGCTCACAATTTGTCAACCAAGCGCTTGAAAAATGAATCCAGTTTCGGACTAGCCCTAGTGACCAATCACCTCGTGGTGGCAGCTAAAGCAGCGCTAGAATTGGCTTTCAACAATCCCAAACCCTTACCCAGCATTCGATGATGCAAACCAGAGGTGGTTCAGCCTTCGCTGATGCACCGATTTCTTGCCACAACCTAGGAAGTGATCCCATTCCGCATATTTCTCCTTCCTTTCCTACTACCTATCTGCTGAAATCAAGCTAATTTCTGGTAGTCTTTAGCATCTGGAGAGTAATTGGCCCACCAATTTGACTTCCACATTTCCTTCACCCATTTTGAGGTTTTAGTTGAAGGGCAAATACCTAGATCCGGAACATAATTTAATCATGGGACCCGTGGGATCTGAGGACTAGAATGGGGAATTGGGCAAACTCTCCTCAAGACCTGTTTTTGAGCAGTTTGATAAATCTTTTGACAGATGTAGGGAAATCCCGGGCTAGCAAACTTTTGTTTGTTCCCAAAAATTGTGTAAAAGTAGGAGGGGAACCCAATATCTGATTACTTCGTGAAACATAAGCTCAAAAACAAGCACTTTCTCTCGCCCAAAGTAGACGGTAGTTTTTGAAAATTTACTGGCTTTATTCTAGGTTGTTTCTCTCACTAAGCTTTACCGGCATTCACTGTGTTTTTTTTTCTTTCAATTATTTATTTTGTTCATTTCATGGTTGATTGCGTTGATTGAAACAACAATAACCCTAGCATTTGAGAGTTCCGCAGTAAAAAGGTGATTGGCACTCCTCCAGGTTTGCTGAAACTTGTTTGTTTAAAAAAGTTAAAAAGTTTTTTTGAAAACGAGTTTAGACTCTCTATTTGGCAGTGAATCAACTCCAGACTCCACATTTCCACGACTTTATTCTTGTGTTTATTTCCGATCAAGATAAAGTACGTTCCCCTGGAAAGAAGAAATAAATATTTTTTTAATTTATTTAAAGCAGATTCTGCTAGAACTACTCTCTCTCTCTTTCTTCCAACGAAATCCATGGTAAAACACTAGTAGCATACAAACTAGTAACGGAGCACTCAGCTTCAGCAAAAAAGGTAGCCACGTACTAAGCTCCTGGGCTTAGCCCTTGAAGCAGATGGCATTCTGCAATTCATTAGGTGGACAGAAGGTATGTGGTATGTTACGAGCTGTTGGATCGAATCTCCAGGGGTTTTAGTTGTTACGACTATCAAGCAGATTGGGACCGATCTTCGCACTTTCAGAGCTAAGGCTCCACCATCAAGGGAATCACCAGTTCAAAAAGCTGGAGCTTCCGATTTTCCTGTTAACCGCTTCAGGAAGATCACCAATCCACCTTACCATTTGCATTGGCCCCTTTTGTACCTGACACCTCCTCTCCGTTCATTTCGTCGTCAAAGTGCCTCAAGTAACCATATCCGCAATCCTTACACTCGGATATAAAGTCTCTCGAATTTCACGTAGTATATGTTATTTCCACAGACGACCTTAAAATGCAAGATTTAGAAGAAATATCAGTTGGCTTTCAAAAGGGGTTCACCTGACTGCCCCTCGAGGTAAGGGCTATTAAGAGTCTAACAAATCGCCCCATCTCATTTATAGCCCTATCTATATCACTTATTCACCTGCTTCCCCACGGCTTGGTTTCTAATGCTGACACCCTTTGAAAAGCAATTTTGTGACCTTTTTTAACTTTTAATTGCAGATAAAAGTCTTTTTTTTGTGATTTTGGGTGACTTCAACTAACACCTCAGAACAAGCATAAATTATGGTGTCATGACCAATGCGAAAGAAAAAGGTAAATTGAAGTGGATATCATTACTGAGTCACATTACCCAAGTGCTGGGAGTATAAACGCAGTGACACTTTACAACCTTCAAAGACTTGAATGAAAACCTTTTAAGTTGAATGATCTGCTTTAGGGATTCTAAATGTTTATGCCAAATTTCAAGCTCTTAACAATGGTGACACAATGGTTGTTATTGTGAGACTGGCATCACTACGCCAAGGCGCCTGAGCCTCATAAGTTGCAGCGATTACACGTCCAATTAAGGAAAGAGCATAAATTTCCAGCCTGCTCATAGCAAATCGTGGAGCAATTACGCTGGAAGTAAGCAACTTCACCCACCCAGGGCACAGGGGCTGCACGAATGCCCAGACCAACTGGCATTGCCTATTTGCTGCTTAGATTTTATCAAGACTGGCGGCTGAAGTACGAGTAGGCCACCTCTTCCGGATGCGCCCAGTCCGACCAACGCCCATGCCTCCCAGTACAATTCGCTCAGCCCTCGTACGTGCGTTCGTGCGTGTGTGCGTGCAAACGGCTGAAAAATATTTCCGCATATTACCTATCAAAACGCCAATCATGAAGTTTACAGGCTCAGAGAAGAGTGGATAAGTAAGGGACATTTTAGTACACTTTAATGGAAACCTTTCCTAAGCTCATTTTTATTTTTAAGCAGCTAGCTTGAGGTATTACATAATGTGTACTTGGGACTAGCAGATCACGACTAATGACAAGTGTGGAAGGTTTAGACAGTGACAGTCTCTGCTTAATTAAGTGTTTATATTCTGAGTTAGCGATTGCTTTTACTGCCCGGGAAGTAGCGTAGAGATTAAACTTCATTCCCCTTTTTGGAAAAAAGGCTTCCTCTTCCAATGAAACCCTTGCCACAGCAGCGCTACTGGAAATTCTACTGACCTTTCAAATTAGCTGATGAGGCAAAATTCATTCGCAGCACCATGTGGCAAGCTTTAAGAAGCTATTTAATATTGGTGGAAACCCTCTTAAGGTAAAAAATCTAGGCTTTGGTTTGCGGTTCCCACTGTTTGCATGGTGTTTAAAGAATAGCTTTTTCACTGCCCTCTACTGCGAGACAGTTTCTCTGTAATTGTATTTCCTACATTCGATTTGTGTGAAGTGTGAGAAAGACTTCAGTAGTCTAAACACACTTTTGCCTTCAGTGCCCGATATGCAATGTGTAGCAAATCCGAAAAGGAGGAAGAGATCAGTGGGTTAGGTTCGGACTGACTGAAAGGTTTCATTATAGGGGTATTCCACCCTTCTCCCTTGCGTCTCCTTTTCTTGTCTTTTGACTCTGTGAATAACTGGATGCCAGTCCAAAGTGCTCTAAGGCGTAGTAAGCCGGATCTTTTCTTAACTTCCACTGTGAGTGAACTAGAGCACTTGCTTATCCCTTTAGCGCCGAAAAAAACGATTCAATTTTAAGTGGTTGCTGAGTGCAAGCACACTCCCAGCTACATAAAACATGCGGACTGCGTAATGTTTTCATTTAATATCTGTCTACCAAAGGAGCGATTTCTATGGGAGCTGATCTTTGGATTTTAATGTTAAATATTTGAAGTTTGCATTACTTAATTACAAGAAGGTAAACTGTTTTGATTGCATAAAAAAGGACAAACCCACGTTAAGTAAGCTACTACTTAAACTTGACCCTTCGTAAATTTTCGGCAGCTTCGTAATACTTTGGTTGTATGTTTAACTCGTCATTTTGGTTACACGGGGACTTAGAGCTATACTGGCGTACCGCCTTTAAGCGGCCTAGCCCCTAGACCACACTGGTAGTCCCAGCCCTCTTGTACCTCGATAATACATATATACTGTCCTAGTGTTGTGCCCTCTTTCATCTTTAGGAAAAACTCAAAATGTCAAATTTGTAGAAGATGAAAGCGAACACAATCCTAATGGAAAACTACCCTGTTTTTCATTTCTGAAAACTGAACCGGAACGCCACGGAAGAAGGACATATAGTGCGGATGAAATAACCCGTAATAACCCTCGATAAAAGGATTATAAATGACGCCTACTTACAATATCCACCCCAGAACCGTGTTCTGCTGGTATGTTATCAACAAATGAAGCGACTTTAGCCGTGGCTGTGAGCCAGGTGAAGTTGCGGTGTGCAAATTGCTTGTTTATTCCTCGCTTTCGATAACAAACCACTAAGAGACTCTAGTATTGCATCCCCTCCCTGTAGACTGGCCTCTGGGCTATGCTAATAGCACCATACGTCCACAATACCTATTCCGTCCTGGTAGTATGTATACTTTTGCCTACGGAGAAGTCTAAGAACACTACATTGGGGGTATAAAGAGCCAAATATGAGAATGAAACGCCTGTTTTGTTTCTTATTATCTGTTAAGCACGTATATTCTGCCCTAGTAGTACGTGCATTTTCGTCTTCAGGGAAGTCTCGGAGATCTGCTTTTGAAATATTGACCATCCCTGGAAGTTGCATCTTACTGGATATGCAGTAGTTTTAAAAGTAAGACTGACTGTTTATTAGCCGCAGGCTCACTACTGAGCATTATTTGAGATCATCATTTTAGAAATTTATTCTTTTACAACAACTGTTGAAGTTGTTATGATGACTTTGATCTGACGTTGTTACACTTGATTTTCAAAGCAAAATGTTTTAACAATCAGGTAAAGGTATTTTAAGGGATTAACAGGTCATAAATGTTTTGTTTATTCAACCTATTTTATGCACAGAAAGGCCAATATATGAAAAACTTTGTTGACCAATGAAAAAACGGCAATTTGCGTGCATTTTGCTGTACGCTGAATTAATCCTCAGTCTGGACTTCCTGGTTCACGTCCACTATACCCACATGTTTTTATTGTACAGTTTGCAATAACAACACGTGGTACTCGCCCGCACTTTACGAAACCTTCTTTTCCAGCAATGATACCAAATATTTCACAAATCTCACCTTTGTACCGCTCAAAGAACCCTCGGTATTATACGCGTTTTACAAGTGTTGACGGCCTCCAAGGATTCGTGAAATGGTTCCATTATTCAAGTTCGCTGGAAAGACGTTACAAGGAATTGAGACTTTTGCTTAAACTCCAGAACCATCCTAATATTGTAACGCTGCTGGCAGCTGGTCCTGACTACCAAAACGGGATTCTAGAATATATTGTCACCGAATTAGCCTCTGAAGGTGATTTGTATCATTGTAGGTCTGAGACATTGGTGGTTCAATTTTACTCATCATCATTGCACGAGAAATTGCCACCTCTTATTTATACTTTTTTACGTACTAGCATATTATTTTGCCAGATATTTGTTGTTTTTGGCGTAATTTCGAATGTGTCTGACTCACATGCAATAGTTTATTCCAAGCTATTACGGGTGGACTACAATTTCATCGAAGACATAACAATTATTGTCAATACATTCAGTGATGTGCGCATTACCCCCATTTCCCATACTGATGTTTTTCTTTGCTAAATGATGAAGTAAATCGAGAGATGCTTCTTCTCCCCTTTTAGTAATCCACAGGAGAAGATCTGTTGAATATAATCTATCCAATGCCCTCTCCTGGATAGCTCAATTATCCGAGGCGCTGGCCTTCCTCCATGAGCGTTCTTCCACTCCAATAATTCACCGAGACGTCAAACCTGCTAACTGCCTCATCTTTGATGGGGGCGCTCGTCTCAAACTCTGCGACTTTGGATCAGCCGAATCCTCCCACCTTTCCGAACTAATGAGCTCAACTCGACGAGGCACTGCAGGCTTTATGGCGCCAGAACTTTTTGCCATCGATTCAACAACTCCCAGTTGGTCTTTTTATCTCTAATGTGATTTAGTGAAGGTAGGTTGCTTCACACCTCGTTCTTTTGAATTCACAGTCAACTACACCGTGAAGAGTGATATATTTTCGGCTGCAATGACCTTCTGGGAGATTCTGGCTCGACAGCATGTCTGCCCCCCTGATGAGTCCTTTTTTGTGACGCTTGTCCAGCTGGTTCATAAACACCGTCGTCCTCGCCCACTGCGAGGCTGCCCCATCTTTCTTCTGCGTCTTCTCGAGAGGTTATACATTACCTTCTCGGTCTCATACTTTTCCACTTATCTGTACTCACACTTCCCTGACCGTATTTCAGGTCTTGGTCCGAGAATCCGGAAAAAAGGCCGAGAATGAGCGAGATCGCGGACCTCCTGGGCCATATTAAGACGCGGATTCTTGATCCAGGTGTGATTTCTCACCCCTTGTTTATTCCACCTCTGCCTTCTGATTTTGCCCTAAGTCCGGCAGCTGCGTACACCACCCATGATCAATGGGAGGAAGAAGAAGATGTTACTGATTCTGCCCCTCAGTCCACTTGGATGGAAGATTGTCCGGTAAGTGTTTTAATGTTCCGGCGTGACCTCATTGGGAAGACTTAAATAAGTGAAAGAAATTAGGAATATGTTACTGGCCTCTTGTTCAATTTCTGCCTTTTAGGCACAAGAATTACTGCTTTTATCCCCTTCACCAGTTCTTTTGAAACCTCTTGAACTCTCCGTTGTTTGCGATGACTCGGATATGGACTAGTAATCCGTCATTATAACTTCTCTCTTTGCCGTTTTCCGGGTGTTAAGTTGTCTACTTTCCTCCTTTGTAGATAACATCTACTCCACCTCGACAATACCCTCACCAGTTAACCCATCAGCATTTCCCCTTTAATATTGCCGTATTTATAAGGCATCTCGTGTCATTTCATTGAAGTCTACTCTGTAGCCTTTTCCTCCCCATTAAGGCACGTAGCTTCACTACGGAGCTCTCACCTTTGTGTGTGAAATGCCTGAGCAGCCCCCTTACTTTACACATGCGAATCCGAGGAATCCATTTATTATTTTATCTTTTTACTCATTTCTGTATCATTATCACAACAATGCATTACTTCGGACCTGTCTAAAATTTTCTAGTAAAAATTGCGCCGTGATGAGGATGGTCCTTGAATGTGGAATAAGGTTACTAGCTTTACCGCCGAGCTTGTTCTCTGAGGGGTCAGTTGGGCACGTCTTTGAAGCCTGGTGAAGGGGCTTGTTGTTTGTTTTCATGATTTAGGTGAACGCTGCGTGGAGCCGAGGAATACATTGTTCTCAAGTTAACAAAGCTCTGGCATATTTTTGTCGTGTGGCTGCACACGACAAATTTTGTAGTTGTAAGCCCCTTAAAATCAGGAACTGTGTCGTAACCCAGGGTACCGTGAATTGTTCAAAGATGCTGAACTTTCTTACCCGAAAGAGGATCCCAATCAAGTGTAAGACTGAGGGGTGAAGGTGCACTAGTTCAAGCTACGATTGATGACGGCGCTGGGAAAACAACTGCGGTATGATGCGAATTGCCTGGGTTTGCGTGCAGCTCTATCGGGCCACTGTATGAATGGAAAAATAGGTGCGCAAAGTACAAACACTTTACGGTCTTTGGAGAGCTAAAAAGAGTTACAATTTTCAGACGATGTCGTGATCTGAGAAGAGTTAAAGCTAGACTAGGGCATTTGTGGCTAAAGGCTCTAGTCTACGAAACTGCGAGCTCTTTATAACGCTAGTGCTACTGTTCAACCATAAATAACCAGTGAGTAGAGGGGAGAGGATCCGAGGGTCCGGTGGTGACACGTCACTGTTTTATGTATTATCCAAGGCAGCTGCCAACACATCGTTAGCGCGATGTAACACCTCAAGTCTTCCTCAGACTCATAACGGGCAACAGTAATGTGGTAGTGCTCAGGTTACTAACGCACAAAAGCGCTAGAGGCCCTTACGGAGGCCTGCGTGAAGCGAAGTGCTCACGCAGCTTAACAGTTAAATAAGGTCCAAAATTGCTACAATAAGGTGACCTTCTTAGTTTCATCTTAATAAGTGGTTGATATTGCAGATTTTCATACCCTTCCTGCTTCAGTTCCACACATAAAATTAGTGACAAGCTATTTATGCATTTCGGGTTTTAAAGAGCTATTTTACCAGTGAAGATTATTAGTTTTTTTAATTATAAATTGAACAGCGTTCCACGATTTTTCAAGTAAGCGAAAGGACAAACCGAATCGGAGGGCAGGTGTTTCAATAAATGTATTTTTGACCGCGATATTTGTCCTCCCTAGGTGTATCCCATTTCCCGGTGAAAAATGGTAGCATTAGAACGATGAGGGACATTTTAAACATCATAAAGTCCGTTTCGAGGCTTGCTTTGGCGCTCAAATTCGGTCGCCAGGTATAATACCTTATGTCAATAGCGTGTTTTAGGTCTTGTCGGGGGCACATTACGTAAAAGCAAAGCCTGCCTTACGACGGATTATTTTGAAGACTGGTCGATATGGCCCCCAATACTATTCCCTTGTGCAAAGGATGGGGAGAATTCTTTTGGCATCTGGTACACATCCACGCCCGAATTCACTTGTCAGAGCATTCAATAGTGTAGCTACGATCGTCAGATATCGGAATGATCCCCCTTTTAATGAGTCAGTTTTTTTGCAGTAATGAATACCATGATAAAAGCTTTTCCAAATATTGTGTTTTTATTTCTGTTGTATCTTATAATGCTTCTTAAAGTCACCATCCTAGTCGAAATCGCTTTTTGTCTTATAGCATCTCCTTTAGTAGCATTTACTCCCCACTCAAGCCGTATGACAAATTGCAACGGAATTATGTCAAGCATTTCCGCTTTGAACAGATTGAGCCGGAAAAGTTTCTCTCTCACGGTGGTTTTGGAGCAGTATGGGCTGCGAAATATCGGTCCCATGACAACGATGCGAACCAAGGTAAGGAAATAACCAATTACCAAATGAAAATTGCCAATACTATTTTATCATATACATGGCTGGTTTCTTTTACCATCAGTTTATCCACTTCCGCTAGATGATGGCTACTTGTCGCACTAACACTAGATGCGCAGCATTAAGCTAAACGCAATTGAACTGTAAGATGTTTCGTATAAAATGTTTAGAAACATCCCAATTGTCATCTACGAATGGATCAACCCTTAAAAGCCGTTGCTCAGAGCATAGCTATCCATTTTGTAAATGTTATTTTTCTAGAACAAGAATACACGCCTTCTCTCCACTTTCAACGTTGTTCCATTGTGATACGAAAGTGTTTCCTTGATGTTTCTTTCTTTTTTTCCGACCGCTAATCCCGAAAAGAAGAAATAGCTGTAAAAATTCACTACAACTACTACCAGGAGGGCTCCGAGGACGATGACATCACCGCAACCGATAATTTGGACTTTCTGCACAAGCAGAGAGCTCGTGAGGTTGATTTGCGGCCCCCTGGACCGCACCCCAACATTGTCCCTATACTCGATGACTTTTTCGATCGTGCACCTCCCGTCAAGACGGAAGGAGAAGGCGGGAGGGAGGCGAGTTGGGAAGGTGTTGAGAAGTTTCCAGACGGTTTTGGCGGTCGTCCTTATACTTTATATCTTCTTATGGAGAGGTTTGAGCTCCCTTTATACTCCTTGTGCTCCGTAAAATGTTCATTTTAGCATTTTCACATTCGACCACTTGAGCTCCCCTAGTTATCTCATTTTCTCCTGTGCGTTGAAATTTGTTTTTTCCCCTTTCACGCAGATTTGATGGATCTCTCGATGATCTTCTGAATGGAAAGTGGAAACCGACTACGACCTTTTCATCTTCCATGAATTCTGCCTCGTTTTTAATGCGTCAGCCAGCATCACACGAAATTGCATCTGGAAGTCCCTTTGAGGTTATTGCATTACATTACCTCTTACCTTATTGATTGTTTTCAGCTAGTTTAATTTAAATGCTATTTTGTTTATTCCTTCTTGTATCCGTTGACAGAATTATTTTACAAATTCTGATTTCTAGAATCCCACGTCTTCCTTACCATTTACAGATCCCGACCTCTAACATGGAGTTTTCCTCCCTTTGTCTACGCACTGAAGAGGCCATTGGTGTGGCAGTTCAGATGGTCGAGGCGGTGGCCCACCTGCAGCGGTATCACATAGCCCATCGAGATATCAAACCATCAAATTTTCTCGTTAGAAGCAGGAACCTTCCAAAGAGAGTAGACTTACTGAATGGTGAGCAGTGGTAGAGACGTGAGCTAGTGTGAATCCATCCACACACGTGCGCGTAAGCACGTGTCTTAAGTCACATGAGAGTTTATAGCTCGTCTTTGCATCAGATGTTGGTTCAAATTATCCTTGGTAATGTAGTTTTTATCACAGAAATCTCTAACTGTGGAAGTTTTTTTACTTATCAGTCTCTTGAGAGCTTCATTCCAATTCAGAGTGAACACCTTAATGTGTTCCCTTCATTAATAGGTGAAACGGTGGAGGCAATTAACTTGCGTCTGCAAGTTGCGCTAACCGACTTCGGTTGTGCTATTCGAACGGTCGACCACGCTATCGGTCGTGATTGCACCACCGTCTCGCACAGCGGCAACATCGCTCTCTGGGCGCCCGAGGTGGCCGTGCACTTCTCCGATCCACAAACCTCTGATCAGCAATGCACCCTCCCATCCATCTACTCGCGTGCGGACCTCTGGGCCGTCGCCACCATAGCCTACCAGCTCTTTGGCCGGCCCAATCCCTTCTTATCGGGTGTAAGACCTGCCCAGCCCTTTTGTCAACTAGAAACTGTCACCTAATGGAACATAGGTGCTGGTTTGACTTGTTCTCTGGACTAACTAGCCTGTAGAAGATCACACTCACACAGACGATATCGTCCCCTCGTATTTAAATGCAGGAACTGTCGTCGACGAATTATGCCGAGTCGGAGTTGCCTATGCTGCCGAGTGCTGCGCCCGGGGTGTTGGTTTGGGTGCTGCACTCATGTTTACGGCGCAATCCCTCCGCCCGTCCTCCAGCCCCCCTTGTCGCCGACGTCCTACACACCTGGTGCCTCCTAGCCAATCTCAAGCGATTCCTCTCTCCTCGTCTGTTCGACAAAGTCGTTCCACAAATACCTGTGAGTCTTCGTTTGCTTTTGTATGGATAATGCCACTTTTACCACCGCTACGTGTGCAGAAAGGAGTCCTTCAGCTAACACGATTGCTGGTTTACTCATATGATCTGCATTTATGCTTTGAATAGTTTAATGTGCTACGAGATTACACTTGTCCTGCTTTGGATCTCTCATGAGCGATACCTGATCTCTCCAATCGACTTGGAACTTGCATTTAACAAGTTTACTACATAGGTGTCATTGGTCTACTACAACTCCAATTTTTCATTCGTCCCTTTTCAATTACATTCGCTTCTTTTTACTAAACTTTGTTGAATATTAAATCAAATATTCAATGGAAGTTGTAATGCAAAAGCCCGTTCTTATCCCTCCGCATAGTTGCCAATGGAGATCCTAGTCAAGGCGGCGGGCGGTGACTTTCTCAACAATGAGGAGACTTGGCTCACGATGAAGTTGGCGGCAGAGGGTTTCTCGAGACTGCATAAGAGACTGGATGATCCATTGCGTCGGAAGCTGCGCCAGTTGCTGCAACTAACGTGGACGGCGGATTGGCTTCTGGGGGCAGCCAAAGTCACGGGACTGCGCCATCTCTTCTACCAGCGTGTCACACTGGAGCGATTTGCCTTCTGCCTGGCTTTCGTGCAATTCGCTGAGAAAGCAAAATTGCTTAGCGCCTTTAAATAATCATCATCCTCCTCACATTCTCCTCATAGTTGTGTCCTTTGGTGTTCATTTCTGGGGCCGTGTTCGTGAATTGTTACAAAAGTTCCATGGGAATTTCTCTCTGCCAGATGATAGCATTGTGACAGGTCGCTAATGTTCTGGGTGCTCGATATATGGCTGCGGTGTTGAGCTATTCCTCGTGCGATGAAATCCGTAGGTAGAATCCGCCTGCGCAGTTCGTGGCTCCATCGCCTTAAGGGACGAGCTGAATTTACCACCCTGTCCGTGTGACTAATGTGCTGCATTTGTTTCACCCTGTTGCACAAGATTTTGTTGAGAACGCGCGGCACAAAGGTTGGCTCATCCGCAACTTGGGGCAGGAGTTGTGATCCTTTCGTCGGTGAATTTGGTAACGAATGATCTGGCAAGTAATGGCGTGTGGACTGCTCGATAGGATTCGAAGGGCGGATATCTCTTGCGTATTCATGATTTGTGTTGAACTGGTGGCTAACTTGGATCTTTTGCTCCGCAACCCCTAACATACATGGCGTTTAAACCGACAGTGCACAATTTCTTCTACGGAGTAGATTAGACTGTGATGGGAAGGAAGTAACAGGAATCAGGAGGGTTCGTAGTGTATTACGGCCCGTTGGGGGATGGAGGAGTTACTTGAATGCATGGGTATGGTCTGTTATGTTTCCATTCAGTTGTGATATGCGGTCTAACCAATTGACCGATGGAATAAATGAAGATAGTGGTAAAATGATGTGATTATCAGTAATTCAATGTTCTGTTTAACAGGGTAGATGTCTCAGCCCCCGTGATTAGCCCCCACTCTGTGGTATGGTCGCTGGGCCATGCTAACGGCTGCATCTTCCATGAGCTAGTAATAATATGGTCTTAGATACTGCTATGCCTGGTCACGACTTTAAGAAAGACTCAGGGTGCTACTATGATTGTGGCATCTGGAAAGCATTCACCAACTCCTCATGTATACCAATGAGCACTGCTTAAATAAAACCTAAATCTATGTTTTGGCTAATATTTACTCCCGCCAGTGCACGCCGGACAATCGCGAACCCAAGCTACAAGGTCAAAAGCTATGGGCAAGTAAAAGATGACAATACAAGTTTATGAAGCAATTTTTGTTCATATGTGATGAATAGGCAATTACTTGACTGCAGGTTTAGATACGTAAGTCTTTCCATCGTCTGAAATTTTACTTTTACCCGGCTATGCCAAGTTGAAACCATGCTATAACTATACGGACGTTTTGTACGTTAGTATCAAATCTCCCACGCTGGTATTATTCTGCGATGTGTCGGATGCTTAACCTAGGTTTCGGTAATAAGGCCACCGCACCTATGCCAGGTGGGCTGGTCTCTAGGTCATACCACCAATCCCCAAGCCCTTCAGTACGTCTGCAATGTATATTCTGTCCGAGTATTGGCTTCATTAGTCTGAGGGGAAGGCTCGGGGCTTCATAGTAGTGCTCTGGATCCTTACTGACGTAATGAGGAAATGTAGAGTGAACGAACAAGTATGGCTAACGCACAGAACTAATGGGCTCCAAATTCGTAATGGGACTGTCCATCCAGAGGATATTTTCACAAATAGTTTAGAAATGCAATGTTAAATGACTGGAAGAAGCTTAAATTTTAGGTAAGAATAACTTTTGTCCTACAAAATGTCTACCATGAGAGATGAAGTTCTTTAGGAAAATAAAAAACACCTATCACGTTTGTGGCGAATCAGAGAATAGTCTCATCCTCTTTCTTGCAGCAGGTAAATTTAAAAAAAAATTAAGGAAAGCTTTTTAGTCCTAAATCAGTTTAGTCTGAGTTAGGCAAACAAGCTGATTTCATGTATTTGATTTCATTTCGTCGTGTTTGATTAGCTAAGTTGGTGGGCTGTTTGGATCGGCACGTTCTGTTGAAACTCAGTTTCTTGTGGTTTGTTTGTGCTTCCCGGATTTTTTGCCAATCTTACTAACAAAATATGGTCGTTCACCAGTTTTACTTTTGCAGAATCACCATGAACGATTCGATTTCAAATAATATGACTTATCAAAAGAAGCGCCCATGTCTAGAGGAGGAGTTGGGCCGCGGTGAGTCTAAGCGGGAACCACTTTGGAAACAGGAAGGAAAAATTTACAACCCGGGGGTCGTGGGGTAATTAGTTAATGATAGGCACATTTTTAAGTCTTCATGAGGAGATCATAGATTTCGTCAATTATGTTTGCCCATCTCCCGAAGAACATTGGGTACGTGAGATCATTATCTCGAAAGTACGGAACGTTATTTATTCATTATGGAGGGAGTGTCGGGTAGGCTCCTTTTTCGGTTTCCTAACATTTCAGGTTGAAGTTTTTGGCAGCTTCAGCACTGGGCTTTATCTCCCGACAAGTGATGTCGACATTGTCATATTCGGCAAATGGCCGCAGTTGCCTTTAGGGACCTTGGAACGAGCGTTAAAGGAAAATAACTTTGCCACTGATATTAAGGTCCTTTCAAAGGCGACCGTTCCGATTGTGAAGTTTACCGATTCTGATACCGGACTTCATGTCGACATAAGTTTTAACATGGCTAACAGCGTCCGTGCCATAAAATTCGTACATACCTATCTGGGGATTTATCCTTGTCTTCGTTACCTCGTCTTCACGTTGAAGCAATTCCTCCTTGTTCGCGAACTTAACGAGGTTTGGACCGGCGGCCTCAGTTCCTATGCTCTAATATTGATGTGTATTAGTTTTTTGCAGGTGAGTTTATTTCTTTGGGTTGTATAGTTTCATATCATTTGTAATTTCACGACTTTTTTCGCAATAGCAAAATACCAGGGAAAAGGAGACCGTTAAGTCCAGAAACTTGGGAACTCTCCTTTTGGAATTTTTCGAGTTTTATGGAATTCGCTTTAACTACAGGACTACTGGAATCAGATTTTCGGAACAGAGTTCTTTTATTTCCAAAGACTGGTTCACGAAAAGCATGGAACGCGACCAGTATCCCCCTCTCTTATGTATCGAAGATCCTCTTTGCCCGGGAAACAATGTTGCTCGGCGTTCCTACTCGTCAAATATGGTTTTAGATGCGTTCAAACACGCTTATCTAGCGTTATCCGCCGCTTTACGCACGGATGCTGATAACGTCGGGAGCATCTTATCTTCCATCTTGCTCATACCGCCGGTATGTCTTTTTGGTTCTTCTTGCTGTAATTGCACACACCTTCTGATTGTAACTTGCCTTAACAGGATACTATAACCTCTCGGAAGCGTGTAAGGGCTTACGCGCTGCTGATGTACCAACTCATGCCGTCCTTTTTTGTGCCCCATGTTAAATCTGGAATTACTCCCATGCAATTACAACAGATGTCATCTAAGACTTCCCCCACTCAGCCCTGCGAATGCTCGGAGGATCAACTTAATAACTCTAGTCCCCCAACAAAGGCACCGATCATTGTGTCTGCTCGTGGACTTAGTACTCGGCCTCCTGCTTTTCTGCGCGCACCTAACGGCGCTGATATGTTATACCTCTCCACCAGCTTCCCGTCTTATGCGTATCCCTCCAATCCTGTTTTCTATGACCCCTTGTGTTTCCCCGTCCCAAATCCCCCTAATGGCGCGCCTACGGTTCAAAAGCCTGTTTTCGTCATGTTTTCACATTCCGCCTTCACATCTGTGTCGAGTCCAGTCTTCTTCTCACCCTATCTCCCTGTGCATACGTCTGCCTCATCAGTAGACGGTGATATCACTGCAATGTCTCGTACCGTGCTCGACAGTGGTTCCGATTGTGACGAAATGCTTTCGGAGTCGGAACTTCAGGAAATGCATGTTTCTGATGATATGGCTTCGGGTGATATCGAGGATGTCTATCGGGATATTGAAGCAGCTGATCGGAACTTCAAGTAAGTTTTCACTGGCTGCAGTATTCTATCCTCTGTGACCTTTTGCAGTTAAACGATAGTGCGACGTGATATTGGTAGATCGCTAACTATTTAGTTGCGAAAATGGTCTTTGCGAATCAAATTATTGGTTCTGTTTATTTTTAGAAGTGGGAGATCGGTGTCTGCATCAAATACCTGCTCCAACTTAGTGAAGCAGTTGGCACCGTTGAGGTTGTTCTCCTCTGAGCAAAATGTCTCCTGTACCCGAGAAAACCAGGAGCTGGATTCCTCCTGTCCTTTATCCTCGCCATCCATATTGCCTTCCTCGTCTACGTCTAGTACCAAGTCAAAAGGACACAAAAGTTGTGAAAAAATGGAAGCGGAGTTGCCTCAAACTCCACCTCCACCACCTTCACAGACGAGAGGAGGGAAGTCTTCTCGAAGGAGACGTCGCCCGGTCCGCAAGACCGGAGGCATTGTTCCTACTCTCGACGGTCCTAATGTTAATGCTAGTACACCCGAGACTCAGGTTGTACCTACTCGGGCAAATGGTTGTTGCCTTTCAAGCAATGAGGATACTGAGGAGAGTGGATGCACCTGTCAATCCGTGCACAAAATGAAGAGAAGGTGCTCGCAACTTCGTTCGGGTGGAAACTGCCGCGAGGGGAAAGTTGATGGAATGGTTACGGCTTCAGAGACTACGCCTGGGCATACAAAGACCTGGTCTTCATTTAAGTCGTCAATCCGCATGGATTCGTCTAGTCCAGGGCAAAACAACCCGGGAAGTGAAAATCTGGGCAATCCACTTACGGCTTCACCCAATCCTCTACCTGCCTCCAAGGCTGGGAATAAGCAACAACAATCCGTGGCTAAAAACAGTGCAATCTCTTCATCTCTAAAACGCCCGGCTGTAAGTAGGCCACGTTCGAATAGGGCTTAGTCCCTCTGATTTTACTGTTACGACTCGCCTCCCCTCCCCCTCCTTCACAATTTCCCCCTTGTAAATACCCATCGCATTTACTTTTCTGTTCATTCATCTTATGTATATATGTAGATGCTTCCGAACTCGTTTGTGCATATTATTCTCTGAAAATATTTTGCATCGCTTGCCGACTGTTAAGAACAAATATACATCGCGGTGGAGATAGGTATCATTTTTATCTGTAAAGCTCAGCCCCTTCTTGGTGCATTGCAAAGAACGTCGGTGGAACGATCGCACTCTCAATGCTCTTACCTGGGATGGTGTGGCCTTGTGCCATCGCGGGTTACCGCCTCACAATTCCGCTCTGTCTCGCTGTCAACAGCCTGGCGACATCGGCACTTGATTGCGTTTGTGCGCACTGGCAAGTGCTGAAATCGGACAGGAGGATTGATTCGCCTGCGCCACCTAGAATACTCCTCATTTAACAACCTGCGATATTTTATTTCTGCCTTTGGAAATTGTTCGTCTGTGTCTATACATTTATAAAAGTGTCTTCAAACTGTTCTTTGTCCTCTGCTTTCGCTTGAGTGGATGTTCGTCATTGCTTGAAATGCGTTTTTTTCGTTATTTTGGCGTTTACCGTTAGATAAAGGAGTCTTGGTACTTTCGTAACGCTGAAGTCTTCGCTTTTGTGTTAAACCCTTGGTTTAACAATTAATCGCCTTACGAGTCGATGTCATCCTACTACACCTCAGTTTCGATACTGGCGAGTCATGTGGCAAGCAGTCGTATTTGTAGTTTGAGCTGTTTTGCTTCGATAGCCATGTCTTCTTATTTTTGACTTCATCATATTCTTGTTGTCACGGTTGGCGCAACCATGGTACGACATGCGTCCTGCAAGCTCGAAAAGTACACCTTCATGAGCTGTGGCCTTGTGAATGATCCGTATGGCGTCGCTGTCACCACATGCTTAGTGTGCACTCGATTGGGCCTTAGGATTTAGGTATTCCAATCATTGTGGGTTTGTTTCCTCCATCCCCAATGGTGGCCTGGGTTCAACAATCTCAAACGTTGCGACACAATCGTCTTGGAAACAGTGGGATTTTTAAATTGATCTTATTTTCAGTACGGATAGGCTTGTGGGCGTGAAAGTGGACAGTGTACTTTTCTGAATAGATTGGGAAGAATTATTTGTTTTTCCCTCCTCCTCTTCTTTCCCTCCTTGGTAAAAGCATATTTTTGATGCGCTCCGGCGGTTACTAAATTTGCCTTCAGACTGCCCTTGGAAGTCCGCTTTGTAGTGCACCCATTCCTGCGGCCTGTTGCCCAACCTCTCCTGTGACCAGTACTAAATTGGGCTAAACGCCACATAGTCTGTGGAATGCGGGAACAGTGGAGAGATTCACGTCGCCTGTCCACCCGGGTTAACACGCTTGTGATCGGTACGTGAGATTTTGAAAGTGTTTTCTCCACAGGGACATATTTTCAGTCTGCGTAAGGTGCTAGCACACCCCACACACGCGGGCAGCCTTTCAAGTAGAAGCTGCACATCTCCGATTGAACACCGAAATTCCCCTCTACACACACAGAGGAGAGAAAATGTGTATGAGGGGGAAGCGGCCGTATCGGTTTGTCGAGCCTGCATGTGTATGCGGATATAAGGGTGTGGAGCGATAGGAGTTGCTGTGCTCAAACAGCATTGTGTGATTGAGCGCTTGCCTAAGGAGGCAGAACAGTAGCCTAAACTTAGTCGGGCATTAAAAGTGTGATAACGAGGCAACAGAAAGATGTGAAAACTGGTTTTTTGGTGGCCTCAACTAGGCACTCATACACACACCACAGCTCCTGTCTGCACTTTAGCAGGTCTTTTGAAGTGGGATCTGGTGACACCAACCCCTGCTAGCTATAGTAGTAGTGACCTGTAACAAAAGTAAGGACATTTCACAGTGGATCTAGCGCCTACATTTCCATGCTGCAGACGAATTACGCATTTTCAAGAAGTGTGATGGTTTCGGAACGTCTCAGCTACTCCTACGAATATTATGCCTCATCTGGTAGCATTTTATAGAAGGCATCTACCATCTCGACGTTTACTCGCTTGCTACTAAAATTGTTATATCATATTTATCGTTACGTAAATAATGAATTATTTACGTGGATGTTATAAATGAGGCGAGTACAAGCCCCCGTGTGAGTCATCGCGACCTCGAACCTATATCGAGGGTTTACCAACGCGCCAGTCTCTGCGACTGCTTACATCGATAACATCCGGCCACCGCATTAAAGGTCATGCATGCGAAAAAAACTCAAAGTCGGATAGGTTTAGTGCAATCATTGAACACAAATCAAAATCTATTTATTTGTAATTTTGTCTACAATGCCGATGATGATGATGATGTTTGAAACTGTTTCTTCCACACTATTGTAATGTAGCGTCCCTGAGGACGGAAGAAGATATCATACTGGGGCAGAATATGTATTGTAGACGCATAGTAGGGCATAGAGCAACTAGAGGCCAGCTCACTCGGCAAATTTACAATGGCGAGGCGTCTAGGTAACTCCTTTGCCAAAAAAAACAAGCGTTAACCAAATAACCAACGCATTACACAGCCCGCCTCTCCTCTTTTGAGTGTCATCCTCGGCGCGCCTCTTGTTCAACCACCCGCGTCAGCAATCACAAGGTAATCAGTGCTGTTAGGACACACTCCCACGAGCCAATTGTGCCAGTTGCCTAATTTTCATCCAACCGAGAAGATGCTTGACCGCAATGGCCCTGATACCTCTTGGCAATTCTACTGGACCTGGAATTTTGTCCTCTTTGGAAACTGGATTTTGGGGACGGGGGAATGTGCTGACCACTACGCGTGTCCATAGATAGTCGTGGGAACGCTAGCCCAAAAAACGAGTCACTTCATAAAGAACGGGTTTAGCATAGTCCTTTGGGAATAGGGTTTCATGTCGATTCCTCCTTCCTGCTTTTTTTCACCTCGGTGCTGTCCAGCTAACTTGTAGGAAAGTGAAGGAGGCATCGCGTATTCACTTGACTAACATCTTCACGGTAGACAGCCCCTTAACGAGATTCTCAGATGGTTCACGGCTATTGTCGCCTCATTAAACCGCGAGACTGAGGCAGTTGCTGAAGGCACACGCCATTTTTAGGCTTTCTGCTGGAGATCGTCACCAATTCTCTCAACCTCAGCATATGCGTTTCTTCCGCCCCACCAGTAGAAATGGGTTTTATTTTTCGCTGCCCTGAGACTTCTCTGGAGACAAAAGAACGTACTCGGATAGAATAAGTATTACCGACGTATTGGCGTGGTTTGGCGGTCAGCCCACCCAGCGAAGGTACAATGGCCCCTTCACCAAAACCGAGAAGTAAGCAAACAACCAACGCATTAGAACAATACCCAGAGGGATATGCATGTATTCCGTTTAACCAACTGCAATTGGTGTTTACTTCAACGCTAGTGATGGTGGATATCATTCAACAGCTCTGGGAAGAATGCAGTCCTTGTAAGGTTTATTGGATTAAAGAAGGTTAGCGGCCACCGTCACGCACATGCCAGACGTGCTCTTGGGTGGTGGGAGATTCCTCCTCACTCCAGGGTCTACTTACGTTTTCCTGGTTTTTACATTGTTTCACCTTTTTAATGCCAACGTAGAGCATTGAAAACATTCTTCCTCTCTGGTGGTATATTTTCTCTTTGGGCACCACTGGCAGACAAGTCAAGCCGTTGCCTAAAAAGCAGAGCTGTAATGAACTTTGGCACTGTGAACCACATTCTTTGGTCAGCGGCCTTTGCAGTGGGTGGAACTGCGTTCCTCTTGTCAGTTTTGGTGGACTATTTCTATACGCCTGGCATGTTGGAGTTGGGAACTTAAGATTAAAATTACGAAATCCATGCACTTTTTTACCGTTATTGTGTATTTAAAATTGCTTAAAGGGAACATCCACGAGCTCTGATTTTCGGGAGTCACGGTTGCCATTTAGCCGGGGCTTCAGGATCTTTTAGGCCTTCTTAGGTAAGACGTTCAGTAATCCCCTTCTTCCTGTTCGTCACCTTATATCCAGAACTGTGAAAGCATTTCTAAGCTTAGAATGCTGCAAAGATCCAGCGGTAGGTAAGTAGCCTATTGAAGGAAAGAACAAATCATCCGCCTCTAGTCGTTGGAACTGGAGCTTTGTGAACAAACAACTGGATTGCATTACATCATCTCGATACAATAGGCTGTATCGGCGACACAGACGTGCCAAGCACAGCTAAGTTGAATCTCCAACTCTCTCAAACGCCAGACACCACACGCTCTGTGCCATACTCTTCACTCACTCAAGGCACGTGCTCACCCCTAAGATACGAAGGCGATGTCACTGACGCTACGACGTTGGTGAGTCACAAACTCACAAGGCACAGCGATGAAAGTATCGACGGCAGAGCACCAAGTTCCGAGCGCTCTACGAGACCAGTTTCGTCACATTCCACAATGGCCTAGCACTGGATGGTTAGCACATTGACTTCTGGAAAGGAGAAGGCTAGATATCGCGTGCAACGCTCACGTACCATTTGACAAGATGGTGTAACAAAAGGGTAGCTAACCAATGTAAACACAATAATTCAAGGTAGAAGTTAACGACCACATCTTTAAGGATGGATTTGCTCACAGTCTCCGTGCATGATCTTTACTGGACCATCAATCATACGACTGCGGTAGTTCAAGCTCCGACTCCTGTTGTCGTGGCGGCGGTGACTGGTGAGTGGGCATGCAGGCAGTTAGTCGATGTGTGTGGATGCCCACACAAGTGGCAGTGATGGCAAAACACGCAGGGCTAAGCCTGCCTAGACCGCTTTTATCCGCACGCACGTGCGCACCCATCTTAAGGTCATTCTGGCACATCCACACACAGCACATGCACACACGTTCTGCCTTTTCTTCACATTCTTCAATGTGTGTGCAGGCATTTAGAAGTTTTTTCAACAATTTGTGTGTATAATGGAACGAACTCCTCGCTAAGAACTATGTAATACGGTAAAACTCTGCGGGGGGGTGGTTTCATTGGTGAATTACGGAGGGGGAAGGGGTGGGTGATCTGTGAGGGTCGTCCCCCTGGACTACCGGTGTCAGCTAATCTAGTGATTTCAATCAAGATTAACTCTCCATCATCTTATTTAGTAACTCCTTTATCAGCATTAGTGTCTAAATTAAATTTCATCAGTTATCACAATAAAAAATCAGTTCTCTGCGAAGTGAGCTATCTTACAACTAAACCGAAATTTCCCGACAAAAAAGGAATGTACTGTCTACAAGGTGGCACATTTCCATATTTTTACTCAGCAATATAGATGCTATTTCTTGTGTAATTCCCTGAGATTGCCTGACCACTCATCGAAGGTACACTGGCGGAGA